CAAATGAATATTTGTAGTTTTCACTAATGAACATAAATGTAATTACCACTGCTTCAACTCTGTTACTTAACTTGATAACATAGATTTAAAATTATCATTCTGTGAAAGTTCACTCCCAAATAATCGGTTTCATTTACCACCCGAAGAAGTCGATTGTCAATACATTGTATAGTTTTGTTTATTTTTCTGAAATATTGCTTCTATTTCAAAAAATAATTTTTTTTATCTTATTAGGGCTAATTGATAACTCTATTATTTTGTTTTTAAAACTGTAAATATTTTGTACAATAAATATAATTATTTACATATAGAGTATTCTTTATACAATTTGGTGTGAAAATATTGTATGTGTTAGTGTATCCTATCTCTTTGTGAAGTAATACCTAAGCTCACTGTCAGCTGAGCGGATGAAACCGCCAAACATTGGTGGTCGGTTGCGGGCCCACCACATGGATTTTTCTGGGTTTTCTTCATGTTCGTAGCACTTAAATAAGGGCTACTTTCCCTCATAAAGTCTTCCCGGGAGCATCTCTTCTTGGCAGATTGCCCACATATCACGTTACTGTATACAAATATACAATAAATCGAGTAATACTGAATAAAGCAAATACAAATGTATTAATCGTATGATGATGATTTTTGTATTAGTCTATTCTCAATTTATTTTACCACACATGGTTTGAATATGATCATTTTTTTCTATGATAAAGTTATATCACCTTAAGAAACAATAAATAAAAAAAGAAACTATAATAATTTTTTTACTTGTAAATTATAAATTAATAAAGTCGAGTAATTAAGCTAATGGAAGAATATTTTAAATTATAATAGTTTTTAATATTTCATTTCCCTATGTTTGATTTTATCCTATAAATGTGTTTCACTCTATATTAATGATTATTAAATTTATTCTCAATTCATAGTTTTTGCAAAATGTACATTATTAATTTCATTTACTTTAATGAATTTTCACTTACATTTTTAAGTATTTAATACTGTTGTTTAATGCAATTAATTTACCTTTGAGAATCAGAATCCTGCAAATTCTTTAATTTACAACTTTATTTTATTTTTTAATATAGCTTTTGTAAAAATATTCATTATTAAAAGACATTTATGGTTTTTTTTTAACATTACTTTCTGTTAGGGAAGAACAAAATAAAAATTTAGATCTCTGATTTTGCACATCACCAGGACACCATGTTACATTACAATGTTGTATTATTACCAAAGGAAGCTTCATTATTTAAAGATATTTTTCTAAAATTAAAAAATTATAGAAACATAAAAAATATCCTTTGTATAAAAGTAATGACAAAATAATTTAAGTAATAAGAAAATTATGTGAAAGTAAATGGATATCTTCAACAAGAATTAAGAGGAGACTCCTAAAAATATACAAAGATGACTATGTAGTTCTCAGAGTGGCAGTAGAAGAAAAATGAGTGTTTAGCTTCCCTCTGATCTGCCTTAAAAATTAATTAAAAGTTTGTGTATATTAATGATTTCATTTATAAAGAGAATAATAAAGTTACTTTTCATTAAACACATACAAAATTATAAAAATCAGTATTTGTAAACCAAGAGTAACCAAATATTTGATAAATATTTTTGTACAGATTTTCTTTGCTTCTCCATTTGATAGTTTTACTTATCATTAACTACAATTAGACATTTAATTTTAAAAGAAAACTGTCAAAATAATAATCGGTTGTAAAATGTTTTATAAATTATGACTTTTTTCAAAGTATAAATAAATGTTTTAAATCATAATTAAAAATATAACTTAAAATATGCAACTAAAGTTTTTCTCAAAGAAAAAAAAATGAAGTGGGACAATGTCTAAATCACTCTTTAATGTTCTCTACTTCAGTCTCTACTTACACTCATTTATAACATCAACTAAGTAATTATTTTATGAATTGTTAAATGTAATTTTGAAAAAATGATAATTTATTCTAAAATTTATTGCTTTTGTAGACTAATATTAGTGTTTTTTTCCTTGTCGTAAAATTAAAAATTTTTTCCTCTCTCTTTTTTTTAAAACAATGACATCACTTACGGATCTGTCATCCTCCTTATGAATAAATAATGACTAATCCCGGTTTGCGACAATCAATAAACTAAATTGTTCCTCAGATAAGACATACCTATCCATTTAATAGCATTATCAATCTCTTTTATTGGACAATATTGTAAGATTTGATTGCATATCCCAGAGATGAAAACACTTAAAATGCTTGTTTTCTTTCAGAGGTTTTTGTGACCTCCAAAGATCGTAACTTAAAGACTCACTCGTCAACGAATGCATAACATAGTTTTAAATAAACTTTAAATGATTATGTGATTAGTTGTATTTCCTACACACTGACAACTTTCTAAGGAGCCGATTATCTACCATTCTCATTAATTATTAGTAGTAAAAATATAGTTTTTCTGAGAAACAGAGAACCACCTGCACATTAATCAATAGCTCTGAGCTATCTCGAAACAATTGTATATACTTATTGTAAATTATAAAATATATAACTTTACTAGAATAATAAATAATCGAACTATATGATACAGTAGAATCACACAAATGATTACTAATCGACTTTGATTGTTGGTGATGTGAATTACATGTTCTAAGCTGATTATAAATACGTATTAAGATATGTTTACTCGGTAAATAACCACGATCTCATTGTTGTATTGTAAACTTTAAAGGTATTTACTCATCAAAGAGGTCAAGTATACGTTTAACATTTTAAAAGCATCGCCCTTGTGATGTTAACACCCGATGATGCCCCTTTAACCATCGATCACCATGGTTTTCGGTATATATTAGCAAAAATATCCCATCGAATGGATAATTTACAGATTTTTATGTCATTTTGGATACGTAAGAAGCAAAGTTTAGTCAAAAATACTTAGTGTTTCAGTGGAATTGTATGGGTGGAGTCCGGGTCATTGGCCTGTAGCCAGGTCTGCAAATCTCTCTCAAGATAGAAAACTCAGTTGTTGATTCTCGCAAGATGGAAATCGTACATACGTCGTTCATTACTTTAATGCGAAACGAGACGAAGATTACATCTAATTACACAAAAGGATACGTAGGAAGATGATTGTAACCGGGACACGCGCCTCAATAGGAATTTAATTATCTTTCTAATCCTACACCATTTTTTATTTAATTAAATTTTGGAGAATACATTTATTAATATGTAATAAACCATTCGAAGAAATTTTTTATCACATTAAAAGAGAAAATCAGTAAGAGTTAACGTGTAGACTTTATCATCGCCTCATTTATATTAATGATACTCCTACTAAACCGTAAATTACGTCGACGCATTCCGTATAAATATGTAACTAATTACGAAACATGATAATTAAATTTCCTGATGAAAATGCTTTAAATTTTATTCATTAACTATAAAAATTGTTAAATAAATTAAAGAAACAACGTATGATTTATCTAAAATTAGATGGTAATAGTAGAAAATAATATTTTTGATGAGTAATTCCCTAATAAAGATTCTCAAATGTCCTCTCTCTTCAGAAAATTCACTTAAAAAATCTTTATATTATCATCAATTAACAAAAAATTGACTAATTAGTAAAACACAATACTCTTTTAATAGTCTATAGTTTTATAGTAAAGTAATTTTTAAAAATATTCAAAAATTAATCATTAATTTTCAATGTCACTTTTGCTCTTGAAGAAGCTCTTTCTCGTATACTCTTATTACCTTTATTACTCTATATTTTCCTCTTAATCTTTATTATCTCTTCATTAACTTCTAGAGAAAATAAATCATAAATTATATATATATATATTTTATGCAAAAATGTAGAGAACAAAAATTTTTCTAAAATCTACCATTAAAAAACAAGAAGAATTTAAAATTTTTACATTGATTAATATTGAATATCGGCTCTCTTCCACGAAAAAAATCCTGAATTATTAAATGAATAAAGAATATTATGATAGATACTCGATTATAAAGTTAATAGACTTTTTAATATTTAAGGAAAACTTCGAGTGAGACAGGGGAAAAAAGCCTTTTTTTTTAATTCATTAGAATACTACACACAGACACACAAACGTTCTACGAATTAATCTCTTAATGAAATTATAATTGTTATCGTTTCTCTTTGGTTAAAAAAATGCGTCAAGGTTATTTTTTTCGGGTCTTTTTTCTAATTGGAAACCATCTTTTGATGATTATTGGGGTGAGAAGTGAATAAAATAACATTTAGTAANAAAAATTATTTTTTTATTTTGTACAAACAAAATAAATTTATTGAAAAATATAAAAACAATAAAAAATTATACTTCAGATGTTAATTTAGTATCAAAAACGTAAAATATTTGAGTAGCCCGAGAAATAGCCGAAGATTGCAGCGCCACAGCACTAGCGAAAATTTAAATTTTCTTACTGGAATGCTTTCGGATAACGGACGTTTCGGATAACCAGCTTTCGGATAAACGACGCTCTACTGTAATTGTTTTGATGTTGCTATTGTTTATGAAACTTTCTGTAATAAAAAATGTAATAGTAATTTATTTTATTAGTGTAAATAATGAAAAATAACATAAGATAAATGCAGTATAAGGTCTTTGCAATTATGAGATTTAAAATATTTACATAATTTAAGAATAAACTACACTATCTTTTGGCATTAAAGTTGTTGTTTACTTGAAAAGTTTTCAACTACAAACAAGTACTTTCACCATTTCAAAACATCTCCAGCAGAGCTTTATGTTGTGTCTGTTCAAATTTCTGTAAAATATCACATGCTAAGATTTGAACCTAGTTTGGAATCTTTTAACATATTTTTTAGAATATTTCTAGACATTTATTTCAGAAATTCTTTTTTCTCCCCTCATAATAGTTTTTCATAATTGATTTTACTGTGAAATAAATCAAATTTAGAAAAATTTTTAATATTAAATATAACTGGAACTTATATGTAAATACAATTTTTATGTTTATAATTTTCACACTTTTTAGGTAAATACAACACTTCAGTTATCGTTAGCAGCTATCACTCTAGCGGCTCCAGTTTTTCAATACGTCGATCATCCTTACGTTCAGGCCTTATGGTATTTATTATATTTCTTTATGCTTAAAAAAATTAAATTTTTAGATAAAATAATTTAATAATACTTTTTGCATTCTTATTCGATTTCAGGTACGGAGTAGCGAGCACCACCGTTATATCCGGAATGAGTTATATATTTGGAAAAGATACATATAAATTTTTACATTATCGTACTAGAAAACAGTGATTTTATTGCACTGCAAGATTAAGAAAGTAATATTTAACATCAGAGAATGGATTTATCCTTTAGAATAGATTATTCAGATCTTGCAGAAGATCCAGCTATGCTAATTTTAAGTTTAGCATCTTAAAAGATCATCTGAACGATCAGGATAGTCTACTCGTAGACAGTCCATCGTTAAAAGTTAGAATTAAAAAAAAAGCATTAACTCTACGCTCATCTCTTCTTCCTTTTAAGTTGTTTTTTTAAAGATTATGAAAGAATGAGACATTAATTTCAAAACTGTGATATATTTTTACTAAATAAAACAATTATTAAAAATTAGTAAAAAGTGTTTATAATTGTGGTAGATATATAAATGTTAAATATATAAATATTGTACATAATATAAATAAGAAAAATGTTAATTTTTTAAGGGAATTTAAAATTTTTTTAAATGTAAAAAGAGCATTCCACAAATATTTCTAATAAGAATCATAAATTTCATAATATAACTATCATCTAAGATTAAAAAATATGTAATAATAAAATTTTAGGATATTTGATAGATTATTATTTATAATAACTAGTTCATTCATTTAAAAAGCTTTAGAATGTTAAAAAATTAGTTACTGTTATTAATATCTTGTGTTGTTTATAAATTATAATATAATACAAATGTAAATTGAACTTTTTGTTGTGAAATATTTAGTATTGAGTATTTTAAAATAATAAATTCATACTTCAGAAGTAATTCAGAGAGATTGTTTATATCACTCTAATAAATAATGTTGCTATACAATACTTTGTATAAAAAGATATTTTACTACAATTGTATTACAATTGTAAATTCGTCTCTGTAATCCAAAAACACACTTTGGTAGACGTATCTTACAGCAATATCTGGTTAGCAAATTATCTTTTATTTTTCATTGGACTACAAATATATTTCGGGTTGGTACAATGTATTCCAACCCCTCTTCAGTGATTTTCCAATTTTGTAAATTATAAAAATTGTTTCTTTTTTATCTCAAATTAGGGAGTGGGAGACAAACCGTCTTCATCCCTAATCAATATTTCAACCTAAAATTGTGTACTCCATATTAATATACATCTAAAAACTCAAACAACTATAATTTCAACAGACAAACTTCTAAAAAATACTCACAATCATATAAAACTTTTTTACACTTGGGTTGTATAACAGATGTAGTAAAACCAGTTAACATAGCAAAAACTTAATATACGTATGTAAAACCGTTTGATACACAAACAACATTTACATTATACCAGTATTAGGTTTACAATGAAAAAGTTCTTTTACAAAATAATTTTACAATGTTTAAACAAAATCTATACAATCTCAATTTGTTTTAGCGCCATCTATTAACTCATACAAGCGGCAATCAATTTGCATACCTTATGAGAGATTTATTAAATTATTTTTTTGTTTTCTTATTTCTAAATGCTCTTTAAATTTTCTTTTATAAACATCTTTTTCAAAATGCAGAATTTTTATATTATTTCGGTTAATTTTACAATTATTATTATTTGTATGATCATACCACGGAGAATTACTGTACTTCAATCTGATTGCCGCTTCATGTTCTTTTATTCTAACTTCTAACATGCGCCCTGT